GATCGGAATTAAAATATAAATTATTATTGAAAGATGCTATAACTTTCTGTAAAATTTAAACATCTCATAACAATTAATAGATCGATGATTATCAAAATAATTTTTATTTGCTTGTACAATAATTGTGAAAGAGAAAGACAGAGAGGTAGGGAGGAAGGGAGAGAGAGAAAGAGACAAAAAGAGAGAAAAAGAATAAATAGAAGAAACCGGAGAAACGATTATTTTACAAATTTCGAGTTCATGTTGAAACGATCGATATATCAAATTAACGAAAGATATTCATATTTGAAGAATCCAACCGCGTCAAATTACGTGTTTTGGTAAAGGATCATAATCGTCATCGTTAGACCGAGACACATATACAAGTCGAAAAAATCGGCATGTATGTATCGTAAATACTATATCGCGATGAGGGACGTGTGTTTAGTCATTTTCTCTTCGATCCGTGTAACAGCTTCGAGATTAGCGAGTCAAAGAGAGAGCAGGGTCATCGTGACGATACGCGTTATCATGCTACTGCAAATAGAAGAAACTTGCGATCCGTAAATAACACTGGGACAGTCAACTTCGAATGGACTCGAAGGAGCAGTGGTGCGTCATTTTTTCGCTAACTGGCTAGTTGGATTTATCGCGATCCGCGCTCCTTCCGCGAGCAGTAATAACACGCGCTTTACTTCTACATACTATAGATCGAAGCATAACAAGCTTTCTCTCTATCAGGTCCCTGCTTCGCGATCGTTCTCCATAGACCGGTCGAACGAATCCCCTACCTATCTTGGATCTAAGAGTTTTACGTCGATTCTCAACTACTTGTTCCTCGTATATTACGAGACGCGGTTTGATCGTTGGAATATTTGTGGATATTTGCGTGTGAAATAGAGTTAGAAAGAAATATATATATATATATATACGATATATTACATCGATATGCCGAGTTTACCCGCTTTTCATATAATCTCTTTATCATTGTTCAGATAACAAACTGTCTGCGAAAATAATAATTATTTGTCGAGTCGAAACAAAGTTAAAAATTTGAAGAATTTTAATATACACGATGTATACTTGTTTTTGTTTAAAGATCTGTATTATAAAGACAAAAGTATTTCGGCATTCCCGTTAAATCGAATCGTAAAAAGAGATATTCATAAGTGGAGAATTTTTGCCCTATTTTCATAGGAATTTTGAGATGTTACTCTCGAGTGCTTGGTTTGAAGTAATCGCGGCAGTTCTTTTGACGATATTGATCTTCGTTACTAGCCATCGGCCGGCATGGTGGTTTTGGACAGCTACATCTCACGAAGCTACCGGTAAGTAAATTCAAGTAAAAATGTTGTTAGTACGTTTCACACGTTGAAACGAAATATTTACACGTAAATTTTTACACGTATAATTAAGAAAAAAAATATAAAAAGCGTGCACGTATTCGTGATATAGTATATTATACATGTATGTAATTTTGCGTATAGTAGAATAGCGTTGGTTTTTTTCGTTCGATGAAAACGATAGATTCGAATACACAAGTTAGGCAAAAGAAAGAAAAGAAAAGAAAAGAAAAGAAAAGAAGAGAAGATGTTTCGTGTATGAACGACCTTGATTTCGAAACAGGGCGCGTTCACGTGCGTTCCCTTTCCAATTAAGCGTAAGCTCGAAATTCGTATGACGGACGACCTTGTATCGACCTTGCGTGCCTTTTTTTTTTAATCTTTCAAGAAGATTAACGTTCTTCCCCTTACACGAGAAATTATGATGTTCAATAATGTACAAAATATAACAAAATGTGCATAATATAATAGCTCGACTCGTATAGAGAAAGTTAGATTATCTGGCAAACGTTTTACGTTTTTTTGTTTGCGTGATGGTTAACAGCACCAACCGAAGGGAAGTTTGGAACGGTATCCAACGTTCCAGGACCGTTTTCTTTACCGATTTTTGGGACCAGATGGATATTCTCTTGCATCGGTCACTATAAATTGAACAAGATACACGATGCTTACAAAGGTAAGAAATTTACCGTTGATATTACGCGTTTATTTTTTTTCTTTTATTATTTACGATTTCGACGAACGAAATTTGAAATTTTGCTAGAATTTTGTAGAATGAATTTAAAATTTTACACATATTTTAAAATGGCGGATTATTTCTGATTCAAGAATAGATTTGAACCAACGATATGGCGCGTTGTGTAAAGAAGAAGCATTGTGGAATTTTCCAATGATCTCTGTCTTCTCCCGTCAGGATATCGAGACTATCATCCGCCGAAACTCCAGGTATCCGCTTCGTCCCCCGCAAGAGGTGATATCTCATTATCGGCGGACACGCCGGGATCGTTACACGAATCTCGGTTTGGTCAACGAGTGAGTAGTAATTTTACGTTCTTCTAAACGCTTGATTCCGTAGTTAAGACACGAACCAACACACATATATATATATATATAATAAAATTCGATAGACAAGGACAAACGTGGCACAATCTTCGGGTAGCTCTTACATCGGAATTGACGGCTGCCAGTACTGTCCTTGGCTTTTTCCCGGCCCTGAATATCGTCGCGGATTCGTTCATCGAGTTGATCCGCCGTCAAAGGGTCGGATACAAAGTGACAGGTTTCGAAGAGCTTGCCTATAAAATGGGATTGGAAAGTAAGATCTATCCGAGATCGATCCAAGATTATCGATTCTATTCGGTTTTATCGGTCTCGGTCCAGGTACCTGCACTTTGATCCTGGGTCGACATCTCGGTTTCTTGAAACCTGACTCGAGTAGCGAGCTTGCGATGAGACTGGCGGAAGCTGTCAGGATACACTTCACCGCCTCGCGGGACGCCTTTTACGGATTGCCGCTTTGGAAATTGTTACCAACCTGTGCGTACAAACAACTGATAGAGAGCGAGGACGCTATATACAAGTATGTTTGGACAGGTATCGAACGAACGGATTGAAAATTCGTTGAAAAACGGCGTTCTCAACGTTGTTGTACAAGCGGTATCGTTCAATTTCAGTATCATTTCGGAGATTGTCGAAACCACTATACTGGAGAAACGAGACGACGCTAAAGACGAATCGGTCGAGGCCGTTTTTCAATCCATCCTGAGACAAAAGAATCTCGATGTACGCGACAAGAAAGCAGCCATTGTTGACTTTATAGCGGCTGGTATACACACGGTATTATATTACACAATATTTACACTTTATTCTTCTTCTAACCGTCGCGTTCGTATTTTCTCTTATCTCTTCTCACCATCTTTTTACGATCTCTCGCCAACAGCTTGGAAATACTTTGGTGTTTCTCTTCGATTTGATTGGGCGTAACCCAGCCGTACAGATCAAACTTTACGAAGAAACCTACGCGTTGGCACCGGCTGGTTGCGATTTGACCATCGACAATTTACGGAAAGCCAAGTATTTGCGCGCGTGTATCACCGAATCTCTACGGTGCGTAACTTAAAGAGAGCAATTTTTCTTTTAATTTTCTTAAAAAATGATCAATTTTAATTTTTTTTTTTTTCACTGCACTGCGTTCGTTCAGATTGATTCCAACGACAACTTGCATCGCCCGCATCTTGGACGAGCCTATCGAACTTAGCGGTTATCGTTTGACCGCGGGAGTGAGTAACAATTCCAATCCATTCCTATCACAAGTTTGCAATCACGAATTAATTATTTTTCCTTCCTCCTCTCCCTTTTATTTTCCGCGTAGACCGTAGTGCTTTTGCACACTTGGATAGCAGGTTTGAACGAGGAAAATTTCAAAGACGCCAAAAAATATTTGCCCGAGAGGTGGACGACACCTACCAGTCCCCATTCGCCGTTATTAGTCGCACCTTTCGGAGCTGGAAGGAGAATATGCCCGGGTAAACGATTCGTCGATCTCGCGTTACAGCTTATTTTGGCAAAGGTTCTTCTTTTTCTTCTTTTTATCACATTCTTGGATTCATTAGATTTATATATATATATATACACACGCACATACACGTCAATAATCTTTTCCCTTGCAGATTATACGAGAATTTGAGATCATCGTGGACGAAGAACTCGATTTGCAATTTGAATTTATTCTCGCGCCAAAAGGCCCGGTCTCCCTTGGTTTCCGCGATCGTACTTGAAATTCCTCATCGAAATCCCCAGTTTAGCTTTATTGTTACTCTCGTTACCTATTGTTATTTTATATTCGTAAATAATAATAACAATTTCACTTGTTGTTGTAAGTAAATTTTGTTCAAATCGAATTATTTATCGTATTGGAAATACTTATTCTACGCATTGTACAGAAAATTTACGAGAAGGATAGATCTAATAATTAATATTTTAATCGTACGCGGGTGTAAGCGCTTGAAATTGTTTTACTTTCTTTGTTATTTAAATTTTTCGATTTCTTTTCTTTTTTTACAATGTTTTTCCATATAACGTGGTCACGTTGCGTTATTAATACAAGAATAATACGATCTTGAACATTATGGATGATAGACGCATTGGATTGTGCATTTATTGTTATTTATCTATGTTATATCGAATAATATAGTAGTAAGTAGAGTATACGTTAGGACGCGTTAGAGAGACAAGAGATTTGTTTCAACAATAGAAATGTGTAGATAATATATCGAAGATCGAATACGATCGAGGCGCAATTTTTTTTTATACTCGTTGCATGACCGATGAATCATATGGTTGATTCGTTACTGGAATAAATTACTTTTCCATTAAAAAAAAAATTCGCTTATAAAATGAATTTTTTCCCTATCTCTTATCTCGAATAAGTTTAACGAAATTTAATAAAAAATTTTTCAAATTTTATTAGTTCAATTAATCGTTATACGAAAAATTTAAAAAAATTTTTTCCTCTTCTTTAAAGATATTATAAAATTCTTTTTTTTCGAACAATTGTTATGCAATGTTTATTCGTTTATTTATTATTCGTTATCGATAACATTCGCGCGCAGCGAAATTAATTATTAGTAACTTTCTATGATATATGCGCATGCAATTTTATTATCGATACATTAGCTAGAATATATTATAAATTATAGGACGTTTCGCGCAGCTTTCACAAAATATAGACAAAGATGATTATAAGTTATATTTTTGCATTGTTTTGTTGCTCGTAATTCAACGATGATTTCGAATTATGAATTATGAAGTACGTGTTTAACATTTTAACGAACATGGTATTCGAGTTGCACGTTTCGAAGCGTGATGCTTATTTGATTTTTCGACCATGATTTTCAACCAGCCCGTCCAGAAGATATTCGTATTTTATAACGTTTCTTTTTCTATCAACATAAATTTCGTTATCGAAATCGAATGTTCTTCTTCTTCTTCGAATAAATGCTATTACACTTAATATACGCACATCATATTCCAACGAAATATGAATTCGAAATGATCTTAAGATGATTGTATCGCAGCTCGTTAAATGCCCTTTAAAACCATGTCTTTTGTGAAATCGATGTTCTTTTTTTTTTTCTTTTTCTTTTTTTTTTTTTTTTTTGTTGTCAATCATCCGAACTACGTCAAAGTGAACGTGATTCAAAAATCAAGGGGGTCAATCCCATTGAATATAAACTCTTTGAAAATAAACGTGTTACAAGAAAAAAAACGGTATGTACATATGTATACATATAAAGCTACAGCGACGTCTACAACTATAGCTTTTCTTTTCTTTCTTCATTTCTTCACTTAACCAAACTTTTGATGCTCCTCGGTAAATTAGGTATAGAACCTTTGTTCACGCTCGCGGCCGTCGGCCTCATGAAACTGTGATTCTTCGCTCCGGCTCTCGGATGAATCAATTTACTTTTAGCAGGCGACGGCGTTGTCGCTTTTTCAACATTGACGCGACTCAACGACGCGGATAACGGTCCCACACTGCTGCCGCTTCCACTGCTGCTGCTGCGCGAAGCGATCACTCGTCCTCCTTTGTTTCTTCTTTGCGCGTCGATGCTCGACTGAAACGAAACAAATTTTCTCGTTTCAAAAAGGGGAGGGGATGAAATCTTCGAGAGAAATGGAATTACTTACCCCGAGAGATTTGCGAACAGTTCTCGCCGTCGGACCCACGCTACTTCCACTGCTACTACTTCTGCTCGCGGGTATTCTGGTGATCGTCGTGGAACGTGGATTCGTACGACGTTTCTCGTTGCTCTTCAATGGCAACGGATTGTGAGATGGGCTTTTTCGCAGATCATTGGTCAATGCACAAATGGCGGTCGTGTAGGTGCGCAGAGGTGTATGATTCGGTACTAAATTTCGCACGGTGTTCACAGACGTGGCGCTGTTCAAAGAGCTTCGGGAACTGCGAAGACTGCTCCTCGATCCCGAACGTTCCACCTCGTTTCTCGCTTGATGATTATTGTTGTTGTTGTTGTTGTTCGTCGATTGGAACTCGAATTTCGAACTCGAATTTCGTTGCATAGCTTCCGTCTTTCCAACATCCCGTTTCAAACTGTTGGCTCGTTTCGGGAGAAAACTAGATTTTTCAACGGTGTGTTTGATCGAGTTGGCTTTGATCGTAGATGGCGCGGCAGACGTTTTCGTCGGCTTCAATGGATTACCAATCGGATTGGCCGAATCGTGGTCAACCAACGATTTGACATCGATAGTGGTTCGAATCATCGAAGGATTATTGGGATCGGCTCCACCGTAACGTAATTCGGCCGGCGAGCATCGAGTGGAATCATGGGTGTCCGTTTCGTAATTTCCAGAGGACGTCTCTTGACTCAAGGTTTCCGAAACTAAACTTTGCGTCTCCTCGAAACCCTCGTCGTTCATCTCTTGATCTCGAACTTTACCGGTGGGAGGTAACGAGGAGAAAGAGTGGTGAGAGGTGGCGTTAGGGACATTCGGATGAGGGGATGAGGCGTAAGTGGGATGAAAGACAGAGCCATCGTGGTTGGATTGCGGCGCGTCTCGCGTTATTTTATTTTGGTTTCGAAGCGGCGTCGATTCGGAGCGTTTGACGCGGTGAATATTCTCGTTCGAACTTTCGTTTTCTCGGCAACCGTTCGATTTGATGGCCAGATCGATTTCGTCTTCGGCGGGCTGATGTCGCGATCGAGAGGAGATCGAGATGTTTCGATCTTCGTTCACCTGACTAGGCGGATTGCTGGTCAAACTGATAGCCTCTTTCACCTGACTAGGATCGATCATGCTCCTCTGCCGCTCGCGACTGGTTACCGCTCTTTCCGCGTGAACGGTTAAAGACGGCTCGCGTGGCCTGGATTCTTGCATCACGGGGCTAAGAACGGTGTTCGTCACGGCGATCACGGCCGACGGTTGGCTAACCGGTAATCTCGAGTTTCGATTGGTGAACGGCCGCGATAGTCGTTGAAGATCCTCCCCGGAACGAGCGATCTCCGCCAGTGCCGTATCTATATCGAACAAATTCGACGTATCTTGCCGTTTCGATTTCTCTTGCCAAACAGGCGACGTTTGGCAACATTTCCCTCGCCCCTCCTCCTCCGGCAATGGAAGCGTGTGCGGGCGTTCGGCCGGTTTCTCCCCGAACGAATCGGTATCGACCACCTTCGACTCTTTCTCCGCGCCGTTCTCTTGGTTCTTTTTGTACCTTCGCGTTCTCCTCGCCGACGAATAACGATCGAAATTACCTGAAACGATAAAGATCGGTAGAGATAGTCGACGAGGATTTGGATGGGGAAAGATTCGTTGAAAAGCCACGATGTTGGCCTTACCTGTACCGAAATCGGCGTTATTATTTACACTTTTTCCCGCCGTATTCTTGAAATCTCTGGTTTGGAAGGAACCGTTGCAACGTTCTCTTTTGCACGGCTCCTTCTCGACCGGTTTCACCTCTCTCGGCGGGCTGAATAGTTTTCTCGTAGCCGGCGGTGTTTCTATATTATCGGAGTCAATCTCTATCTTGTCGATCATCTTTTCCTCGTCCGCGCCTTTCTTCAACTTGGAAGAAAATCTCCTCGCACCGCCGAGTTGAGAGTCGCCGTAAGGTTGTCGCAGATAGATCGTTAATTCGTCTTGAGAAGTTGGATTATTCGCGGCATCGTTGATCTTGTTCTTCTTTCTCTCTTCCTCTTTAATGGACTGCAACAGGTAAAAGGCAAAAGTGAAAATCGATTCTTCCCCTTTTGCGACTATCGTCTCGAGAGGAAAATAGAATTTCTGTTCTCTCGTGAAAAAAAATACGATGCCATGCAACCAGACATGCCTGCAACGTGCTCGAAGAAGATAAAACGTTCTCCGCGCTCAGTCTCGATCTTAGCCTACGGGAATAACGCGGGTCAGTCTCTTCCATGCTGTTTGGTACGTTCAGGCTGGATTTTCGCCAAGGAGATTTATCTTTTTGCGATGGGTGCGTTTCAGCCTCTGGAAAGAGAACGAGTTTGAATTTGAATTTGAAAAGAAAAAAATACGAGAATAAATAAAGATGGACTACCTTCGATAGCTTCCATCGTGCGCATTACGTCAGTCTTTTCGACGGATGGACGCCAATCGTAAACTTCCGAGTACGCATCGCGCGTGGAATTGGCTTCGATCTGAGCATTCGTCTTGCCTTCGCTTTCTATTCGTCGAAGAAATTGAATTAGAATTTTGAAAGAAATTTCGTGTTTCACGTATACCAATATTTACCAGAGTCTTCGTAAGATCGTCGATTCGCGTGATGCAATTGTCTTGCTTTCCTTTGAAGCTCTTCTCCTGCCCGATCTTCTTTTTCATTCTCCGACAACCACGCCTCAATTTTTTGCCGCCACGCTTTCCTGTTCGATACGCATACGTATTAACATTACGTATAAACGACAGACATTTTTATAAAACTTCCACGAGAATACTCGTTTCCCGTCGGTAACGTATGTTTCGATAAAACGAGAATTCTCGTTTCCCGTCGGTAATGTGTTAACACACGTATAATATATATATATATTTGAGTCGTTTACCCTGTAGATTTCGTCTCTTCTTCTTGTAAGAAAGGTTTGCTCTCGATCAAGGGGGACGGAGAATTAGGTCTTTCGCGATCAATGGAAAAGTCGGCGTTTAACAGATCGCTTCTTCGAGATTGTCCTCGAGCTCTTCTCGCCCAAGAACGATCTATTCGTATTCGTAGAAAACAAAATTTCTCACGATAGAATTTTCAAATAAAGAATAAAGACAAAAAAAAATTCGAACAAAATAATATAATCGTACCTAAACTGCCCCATGATTTTCTCTCACGAGTTCCATCTTGCCCCGACGTTCTCAAAAAGTCCATTAAATTACCATCGTCGTCTTCGCAAGGTATTCGACTTCTTCGGCGTCGAAGAGTACCATTTGGCGTGACATCTGTGAGAAACAATTTATAATATTATACTGCGAAACGATTTAAGAAGGAAGAGAGAACGATTCGATAGGAAAGCGTGTTTGGTCATGGATACCTGGCGAGTATATATCTTCTTTGGTAGATTGTTGATCGACGATTCCACCGGAACAAGAACCTAAACGTCGTCGAATATTGGGTGATCCGGTTATCGAGACATCTTCGTCAGAAGTGACGATACCGTTTTGCAGTCTTTTCATCTAAAAAGGAGGGATCGTGAAGAGGGATCGAACAAAGGAATGTAAAAATTAATATAATACCTTAATATCGCTACGACTGTAATTCCTTTGAGGTAAACCGGTGGCAAAATCGAAAGGATCGTAATTGATTAAATTGCATTCGGATTCAGAGATTGGCGCCTCGATTTGTTGGTTGTTGGTCACTGTAAAAAATATATTATGTATACATATACAAAATATGAAGTGTATCGTTTTAATCAACTTATTTGCTTTGAAAAGAAATACAAAAAGAAGAGAGAAGAGAATTCGTAATAGGAACATGTAACAAAGACGTACATAATCGTTTTTTAGCCAAAAGTTGTTCTTCTCGTTGCTTGCGCCTTGCCAGTACCTGTTCTTCTTGAATTCTACGCCTTTCATTCTCCGCGACAGCTTGGTTGAATTTCAGGCAAAATTGATGGAATATCTTGAAACATTCCTCAATTTTGAACGTGTTACCGTCCTCGCAGAAAAATTCGGCGAGCGATCGCCTTAACGTTTCCAGCTCTTCCATGTCTCGTTTCAACTGACTCATCTCCTGTTCCGCGATCTACAACCGCACGAAAAACAATCGATTTGCATTTTCCTCATTAATAAATTTCAAAACGAAAGAAATTTTTTAACAATTTTTTTCCTCTTCTCTCGATTTCATTGGTTAGTAGACCGATTCTTTCTTTTTATCTTTCTATCTCATAAAAACGATAATAAGTAAATTTAGGTTATGTTAGGTTAAGTACGATTAACGATCTGTAAAAATACCTGTAAAAATTGTGCCATCTGTTTCTGTATGTCGGTTTCCGTCGAAGGGAAATTGATCTGTGCCTTGATCTTTTTTATCTTTGTGTCGAGTGCGTTAAATTCGTTGTTCAACTGCTCCGTTGTACTCCTTCGCATCATCGAACGTCGACACGAGCGTGAGACAAAAGGACAAAAGAGAGGACGTTGTTTTAGATGTAACGTTTTCGAAATCGAGCGAGCTATTTATATATTTTCTCGAAATAAAAACAACAACAACAACAACAACAACTTACTTCGTGGCAGCCTCCAACGTGGTCATGTTCTTCGCGAAATCCAACAAATCCTTCCTCTTTCTTTCGGCTTGCTACAACGTGCAACAACGTGACAACAACGTAAGAAGAAACAACGTTCGAGATACGAACGAGGAAGAGATTTTATAATAACGTAACGTGAACGAAAAGTGTTGTGTGTACGTTACCAGAGCCACGTAATGTATAAGATTCATTCCTGGCTTATTCGCACGAATTTCGGTTAATTTTTGCAAAGAGGACAATTTTACTCCGGCAGCGTTCCCAGCGTAACCACCCTACGACATTTATCACCATTATTCATTCCTATTTTTCCACTTTTCGGGCAATCTTCTCGTTTTCCATTTCGTACCGAATTGAGAAAGTTTCCAGTTACCAGAACCATGTACAACACTTCTTGAAGAGGTTTGTTCGTCATCAAATCTTCACCCGCTAGAATCATCGAGTTAATACTCGGTTCCAAATAGCTCATATTGGCAGCGAATTCTTCCTTCAACAGCATACACTCTATACGCAGTTTGTAACTGGGAGGGGAAGAGGGGAAGAGGAAAGGGGAAATAAATGAAATTTTCATGTCAATTGATTTAAATTCTAATCTAATCGAATGGAAAAATTAGAGAAAAATTTTTATCCTACTTTGGTACTTGAACGAGCTGGAGAAAGAATTTCTCGGCGTTTCCGAGCTTCGACTTGTCGCCGTCGAAACTCTTGAGCATCTCTAATTCGTCCACCTCGGGCAAAATTTTCAAAAGGCCACGCAACTTTTCAGCCCCGATCTCGTCGTGGCTTCCATCCTTTATGAGCCGAATAATATCTTCGTTCGAGCTGAAAATCGTTTCTCAATTCAATCGGTCCTCGATCGAGGAGAAATGAGAATTTAACCTCTTACCTTCGAAACTGCTTTAAAAATATATTGACGTTCAAACTCCTCTTGCCATCGAGAAGCGCGATCTGAAATGATGAACGAGTAGAAGAACGAGAGAGTCACGAATCGAGCACGAGAGATTCAAGTGATACCTCGGTCGGTTCCCTTCGTCGTTTCTCGGCGTCCGAGTTAGTTCCGTGGGAGGAACACGAGGTGGCTGGTAACACGGGAGGTACTTGTTGACAAAACAGACCCTCCATTTCCGCCCAATCTATATCCGCCATTGGAGAGTTTTGGTGTTCGTCGGCAACCAGGGACCAAATGTTCCGCTTTCCGATCACCTGGGAGGAAAGGACTCGTCTGAGAATTGAATTCTCGTCGAAGAAAGAAAGAAAGAAAGAAAGAAGGAAA